CCAAGAATTTAAAGATGGCTGCCATCAGGAAATCTATTAATGGGTTTTACTTCATTAACATATTAAAGGAGAAAAAACTATATCACCTCAATGGAGGAAAAAAAATCCATCTGATAAAATTGAATACTCATTACTGATTTAAAAACAAAACTAACTTTTAGCAAGATAAGGATACTTCCTTAGTTTGATAAAGGTTATCAGAAACCTACAGAAAAACACTGATAATTGATGATTTAAAAAAAAAACTCTATATGCGCCAGTTACCGATTTATTATGTCTTAGCTCCAAATTCACCCTTTGCTGCCCTCTGTGAAACCGGATGCTGCGAACATTTCTCTTTTGCCAGCTGGCACAATGTTCAGCTTTGTCAGTAGAGGGCGCTGGACGGACATGGCAGGAGGGGCATCTGTCCTTGGTTCCAGAGTGCTTCTCTATTCTTATTTCTAGGGCAGGCTTGCGTGTAGGACACCCAGTAGCATGCCCTCACCAGTAAGTTTTACTGACACCCCAACAAGAAGATTTTTGCTTGCCAAACACAGTCCCCAGTTTCCTGCTTGCCAGCCTTTTTCCCACCAGCTGTGAGCCACCTCTGGCCCAGGGCAACCGAGCACTCATCATCATTTAGCGGGCCACAGCCACACCCTCTCCAACAAGGTCTGAATCCTAGCCTTGGGAAGTATACCTTCCCCTTCCAAGTTTATTCTTTCCTTGGATACTGCCTTAGCCCTCGTATGTTGTTTAGAGTTCTCTTTTGTCCCTTCTTAGCAGCCATCTTTTGTTATCAGTTAATACACCTACTCCTCACTTATCGACTGTCTCGTTATGTGACATTTTGTGTTTATTACAATAGTTAAAAATCTACTATCCGACTGGCAGTAACAAACACCGAGGTATGGGGTGAGAGTAACACTGGCTATGATGGTTAAGTTTATGTGCCAACCTGCCTAGGCCAGGATTCTCAGTGTTTGGGCAGTTATGTAATGATGTCATCCTTCATTTTGTGATCTGATGTGGTCATCCTCTATTTTCACATAATGCCAATTTTCACATAACAACCTGGTCTTTGGAACCTAACCCTGTCAATAAGTGTGGAGTGGGT